AACGAGTTGGCGGTGCACATTGCAAATCCTGCAATCGATCAAATCTGCACAACAGTTTACGAACCGGATTTCGATTTTGGTGCGCGATTTTGATTGGACTATGCATAAATTCGTTAGTCCAGCCAAAATGTAACTCCATAATGCCAGCCTAGTTCGGCAAGGGTGGAAACTGGACCGAGCTATTGTTAACTCTCTTGCCTCGGGAAGATGCCCCCTATTGTAACTGAAACACTTTTCAAAGCAGGGTTCAGCCTACTCACTTATCATAGTAGAGGACATGGCATTCTTGTTCAGGGTTTAGACTGTTATACTCAGAGGCTTTTGAGAGACTTGTAACACATTTTCAGGCAGATGACATATTAACGATCCATCTATCCATTCCTTGTCATGTGGCCTTCAAGTCGTGGTGTCCCTTCCATGGTGTTTATGAAACTAATAGTTGATATTCCGATCCGCAATATCTCCCACGATTCTCACTGCTGCTAATCACGTGATACAGCACATGTTATACAGCTAAAGATATAACATCCTATCTGCACACCCTTGTCTTCTATTCTCTGTCAGTAACCAGTTAGTAATCAGGACGTAGACTAAAAATACTTATTGAGAAACCGCCTCTGTGGTCTAGTGGTAGAGTGTCCGCTTAGAGAGTGAAAGGTCCGGGGTTCGATCCCGGGCCGCGTATACCAAAATATGTTAAAAGATGGTACTTGTTGTTACCCTGTCTGGCGCTCGGCATTAAGGGGCTAAAACAAGGAGTGGTCGGCTCGGAGTCAGTATACTGTGTCTGAGTGGGGTATTCATGTTAAACTGTGGCATGGTATCTCAGTGGGCTAGCACTATAAATCGGCATCAATCCAGACCAGTGCAAGCAGCCACACGTACACGCATGCATGTCGCTATATAAGTGCAATAATCTTGGACGTGATGTCAAACCCCATTTCACCTCACCTCACTTATTGAGATGTCACCACAATATACAGAACTGTGTCACATATAGGTATCTTGATCACTTGACGATTAGTTAAAGAGTGGCCATGTTGTCCATTTGTGTGTCCTTGGTCACATGATCACTGAATAGACAGGACATCCAGTATCCATGGTGTCTGCTCCACAGTACAGTCTGTCATTTCAACAATGTTGACATCATTTGTCCAACACTGCATTAGTGTTGAAATAAGCTGGTCCGTCAGTTAGCGGTGTCAGGAATCACACAGTGCTTGTACAGGTCATGTGTATGACAACAGGTTGATGTCATAACACCCATCCACCTGAAGAAAACAAAAAAAGGGAGGTAACCCAAGTCACAAATCACAAATATATGAGCCAAAAACCACCTACACCAATCTTTTACATATCCTCTATATTTCTGGACCCATCCGCAAGGTTTTTCGCGATCATAAATTACCTGCCCTTGCTTTTCATTTTACCAACCAATCAAATGTCGAGATAAGGTAAAAGAAATGAGTAAGGGAGATAACTCATAATGCCTAGAAATCAAGCCACTGAGGGATTTCTGAGGGTATATTTTGCGTGTCAGTTTTACAACGTTGAATTTCTCGCAAACTCTATCGTTACCAATGGGGCTGGCCACTATGTTAATGATATCGCCAACCCAACATTGAGGCTGGTTTGTAACTCGCATTCTGATTGGTACGTTAGACCTAGTAGCGTAGCCAATCAAATTTGCTGAAAGAAATCAATGCCACATACCTGTGAGACTCAGGATCGTGTTCAAGCTGATCATGTTTGTCTACAAATCGATCCATGGGCTATCCCCAGTATACCTCCAGGAACTCACTGCCCTTTACCATCCTGGCCGAACATTGAGATCTGCAAACAAACTACAGCTTGCTGTTCCATCAACCAGCAGAACAACGTATGGCGACAGAACCTCCCGAAAAGCAGGTGCAACTCTATGGAATGCACTGCCCATTGATGTCAGGGGATCTGATGATGTCAACACCTTTAGATCAAAACCCAAGACCATCCTCTTCAAAAGAGCATACGACTGAGCGCTCTTGAGCAGGCAGTATGTCTGGATAAGTAGCGCTATATAAATGCGTAATTTAATTAATTAATTAATATTTATGTAAAAAAACTTAAAATAATCGTTTGAGATAAAATCGAACTGTCGAAACATATCCGATGTGCTTCAAACTGTCAACTGCCTTACGCCTATATGAGTGTATACCCCTACTGTTTAATGCAAATTTTGCAAGTGATAGTTATATTTGGTCATCACTACAAATAGCGGAATACTTCTCGCTGGTGATATGGCGCTATTCATATAACATGAAAGGATTATGCTTTCAAGACTGCCGGTCGAAGAGAGGTTATGTCTGGATTACCCTTCAAACGGTGCGTTCTTCATGTTATCCAGTCCCGAAGTTTTCATCTATACATCAACGTACCCATTTGTGAGTGAGTGAGTGAGTTGGGTTTAACGCCGCTTTTAACATTATTCCAGTTATATCACGGCGTGTCAGCTTAATGTGGGAGGAAAGCCCGAAGTGATGCAGGTCTCAGACGTTTACCACTTCGGTGAAACTCACGAGCACGGGTATGGTGCTGACTAACCTAGAAACCTAATCGGGGCGAAACGGGATTCGAACCCACAATCATAGGTTTCTGGCGTGCCCAAGGGACGCAACTCTGCACAACGAATCGCGGCGCCTTAGACGACTGGGCCAACCGTGCCCCGTACCCATTTGTGGGTCGACAAGTGTCGTTGGTTTTCTTTTACCGATGTTCTGTTGCTCTCAACTCTGTATCTATAACTTATAAAACACTTAAGTGATCGATATGCCTAAAATGCCTTTTTGTTTTCACAAAATGACCATGACATTGTTCTTTTACTGTTAACATAAGCACTATTTCAGGAATAATCTGGCATTGACTTTTTATATTTACTTCTTGGCTATAGAAATACTATAGTTGACTCGCCCGTAACCGTGTATGTGCACAATAACATAACATACGACAGCATTTCCATGAACTTATTTATAAGCCCACATATCTTTCCTTACAGCCATTACGTGTTTAAATATAAGCATGACTGACTGACTGACTGACTGAGTATGGTTTTACGCCGCTTTTAGCAATATTCCAGCAATATCACGGCGGGGTTATAAGAATGACACAAACGTTTGCTAAAAGCAAGCCGCATTTGAATGCACCCAAAGAAAGAAAGATTCCACTTTTCAATCTCAAGCTGGTAAAGCCAGTTTTAAACTCTGCTATATTTTGTTTTGCCTGCTTACATTGGTCATGTAAGATCGATGTTTGTTCTTGCATGTTCATGTGTTAAGCATCGACAAGTACGTGAGATGATAACTAGAAGTGAGCACGGTGAATGAACTGGGTCAATGCGTGTTATCGTGCCCCTGTGGCGTTTCTTTGGTAATACCTGGTCAATACTCGGGTATTGACAGATCGCAACGATATATATTGACAGTTGTTAGCAAGCAGTGACGTAACACATTCACTTTTTCATTTGTTTTATGCCATCATCAGCGTGTATTGAGGTGCAACCATTGTACATGAACTGCCTTCAACTACACCAAAGAGATGTAACAAATGTTATATTTGGGACAACACTTTCTCAGTAAAATACAGATTCTCGTACTTTTAGGGATTGGGTCACTGTCAAAATCGCCAGCACACAAAGTCAGCGATCTAACCCACTCAGCCACCGAGGCTTCCACAAAAATGGAAGTCTGACAACTGGTAGTCTAGATCACGTACCCCTCTGACAAGTGTAAATTGGCACGGCTCCAATGCCACCCAACCCAAAAAGTACGAGAATCTGTACTTTACTAAGAAAGTGTTATCCCAAATACAACATTTGTTACATTTGACCACTTTCTAAATGGCATTGTGTGTTCATAGCTTTCGGTCATGGGAGCCGTGCTAGTTTAAACTGTGAGGAAGTATGCTGGTTCGGGTGCCACATGTAAATAGTGTTTTCACAATAATTCACCGTATACCTCGTCCAAGTTCCTTTGTCAAGTGGTATACATCTCAATTAGGTAATTATGGTAACGGTTCTCAGACAACCCTGCGTAGGTGTTTTTTTGTAGAATATGTAAACGGTTTCCGAGTTATGCTCTTGCTCAGGAAACATTCGTAAAAACTCCCAAACTATCAAAAGGCATCAGTTAAGGCAAAGTCTAATGTTTTCAAAAATCCCAAGCTATGAAAAGGAACCGGTTTACCACTAGACCTATTTATCTGCCAAGTTTGGTGAAGAAATATTGCACAGTTTTCAAGATATGTGCCAAGTTTGGTGATTTTCAGTCTAAGTCAAAGTCGTTGCCAGGGAAACTCGAAAAATACATTTTTCAAAAATTCCCAACTATGAAAAAGCGCCAGTTTACCACTAGACCTACTTAAGTGCCATGTTTGGGGAAGAAATATTGCACGGTTTTCAAGATATGTGCCAAGTTTGGTAATTGTCAGTCAAAGTCAAAGTCGTTGCCAGGGAAACTCGAAAAATACATTTTTCAAAAAAAACCAAACTTTGAAAAGGCGCCAGCAGTTTACCACTAGACCTACTTATATGCCAAGTTTGGTGATTTTCAGTCCTTCAAAGTCGTTGCCAGGGAAACTTGAAAAATACATTTTTCAAAAATCCCAAAATATGAAAAGACACCACAGATAATCTAGGCCACATAGATTTATTATTGAATAGATTTCAAAACAACAACATGTTATCTTTATTCATCAAATGTAAAACATATACCGCACAACTTTAGATATACTTCCTCCGCTTTGACAAGACCAACTGTTCAGGTATTGAAAACTGTCCCGTTTCGACTGTATTACTGGGTCGGTTTGGAACTGAACTATTTCGACTAGTGCTGATTTGCGCCGATGGCCAGGGGAGGTCACTCTGCCCTTCGTTTCATTTCGCTTCCGGGTGTTCTGGTGCACAAGCAGGAAGCGACATCAACAGACATTCAACTTGAATTGTGGCCAGAGTTGGAGGTTTGTCAACCCAGTTAATGATGAGTGACGTTTGTATCTTCGGTGGAATCCGAGTTAGGATAGTATGTCCTGAATTGACAAGGTCCCCAACAACCTACGCTTGTCCGTTGTACTAGGCGACGATCAATTTGATCGGGTGGTCAGGGTCTATGCAGGCCTAATCGCACCCTGAAGTTCTAGATCTTTGTTGACATTATCCATCACCAGTGACGCAACTAGGCTAATTTGAAGTGTAAGCAAAACTTGTTTTACGAGGGCCCACTTGGAGGGTTTAGGGGTATGTTCCCCCAGAAATTTTAGAAATTAGATGTTATCTTACATTTTGGAACATTTTAGGTTAGCATGGTTAGATTTTATTTGTAACAATTAGAAATTTATTTATTATAATTTGTTATTTGTAATATATATATATCCCCTATAACATGTTTTCGAGCCTCATCTCTGTTCGGGGGGAGCACGGGTCGCCCAGTCGATTTGCTGTGCAGAGTTGCGTCCCTTGGGCACGCCAGAAACCTATGATTGTGGGTTTGAATCCCAGTTCGCCCCGCTTATATTTCTAGGTTTGGGAATCTGGAATCTATTTTGAACTTGACTGTCATGGATGGGCTCGAAATCAGGTGACACTAACAAGATAGCTCATGAGGCTTTATCATGATTAACTATCCAGTTGTAAACAGAAATAAATGTTTTCTAAGGTAGGACTCAATCTTAGTGTATTACGATTGTCATTAGACACGTAATGAGAAACACTTCTTAGGGGCTCAAAACAGCAAGGATGCGTGTTTGACGACACATTTTAGGCTTCATTCAAGAAACATCTTTGATGAAATTTGAACATTAAAACAAATTGATAATATTACTTTCATGTGTTTCTACATGTTCATTCGTACACTACTGCCAAGAAGTTCATTCCCCTAACACACGTTGGGAGCGAGTGTAACACGCATGTGACACGGGACCAGGTTTCAGTTGAATTTGACAAATGTATGAAATGAATTGTGAGATAAAACAAAACGGTGAGCTGTGAATCTTGAGTTAATGAGCGGCCATAAACACAAGGTCGGACCGTCTTAATTACTGTTCGGTTGCTGGACTTTTATGGCATGAACCATTCCACAAGGGTCCAGTCTAGCCATTGTGGCTAGCCAACAGTAGAATTAGAATAGCCCTTCAGCAACCCATGCTTGTCATAAGAGGCGACAAATGGGATCGGGTGGTCAGGCTCGCTGACTTGGTTGATGCATGTCACCATATCCCAATTGCATGGATCGATGCTCATGATGTCAATCACTGGATTGTCTGGTCCAGACTCGATTATTTACAGACCACTGTCATATAGCTGGAATATTGCTGAGTGCGACGTTAAATAACAAACAAAACAAACCATGTAGTTGAATACCAGTAATATTATCTTTCCATCCACCCCCTACCAAAGTCTCTCCCTTGTCTTCCCCTTTTATTCAGTTCAAATTCCAATCGTGAATTCCACGACCAATAATACGAGCAGGGATTTATCTAGAGCTGCTTAGAGGCCGATATGCAACCCCAAGTCTGCAGCAAATGTCTAGAATCCCCAAATTGGAATTAAGACATCTGCAATTCATCAATTTCTTGTTAAAAAAGTTACCGTATTTGACGTAATAAGCGCCCAGGGCGCTCTCAAAATTAGAAATAGGGGCCTCTTATTAGACTAAAATTTTGGTGGAAAAAAACAGAGTTGAAAGATCGTAAATGACGTGGTTTATACTGACAGCCTGAAATGATACAAAAGAAAAGTCTGTGCATATTATACACGACAGATATATTTTTCCAGAATATTTTTGCCCATAATTAAGGATGCATATAACACACAAGTGCATATTTTAAGTCTTGTGTACTTTGATCAATCGGAAGGGGTGCTTATTTGTATTGTTCACTCGCAAATATATAAGCAAATATCACAGTGGGCGCTTATTACGCCAAATACGGTATAACTAATGTGATGGCCTGGTCAGGTCGACTTGAATTTCACGGATATCAGGACCTATAATAGAGAGGAACATGGTTAATGCTTTGTTGAACGATGTTGCAGTTTCAATAACATACACTGTTAAAGACCTCTGAATTTAAGAAAATGGGGACTTTAAAAAAATGCAAAATTTGAACAAAATAACTCTTTTTTTTCCCCAATTTCGAGACCATTTTGAAATTGTTAATGTTAAGTTGTTAAGATATTGCATACACATCTTTTAGTTTGGTGAATACAACTTTTAGCTGATTGAATTGTTTGTTGATTTAATGATTTAACGTAAAGAATATGATTATTTCACTTCCCTATGTTGGAATGTTGTCCTGGTACTGATTTCATGATTCAATTTGTATCGTGGGTTGAATCCCGGTTCTCCCCAATTATGTTCCTTGGCGTGTCAGCACCCTATTCATGTTCGTTGGATTCACCAAAGTGGTAAACGTCTGAGACATGCAACTCTCGAGACTTTCCTCCCATATCAAGCTGACACACTATGATATAACTGGAATACTGTTCAAAGTGGTGTTAAACTCAACTCACTCACTCAATTTGTGTCACGATAATTCGTTCATGACACTACAGGTATTCATTTAGGAGTCCAAACTAAGTGCTGTTGGCAGGCGAAGTGGGAATAAATAAATGTTATTTTGTTGAAATTTAGGATGTTCCGAAAAATATATTTTCACAATTTTAGAGATATTTTATAATGTTCAACATTGCAGTCAATAGAGTTATGAAAAACTAATTAAAGTGTTGTCTTCCTTGATCCTGTCATCAGTTGAATACAAGTCACTACAAAGCTATAACATTAGTTGTAACTAAAGTAGCATAAATAGGGAAATTCATAAACTCTTTGGGAATTTTACAAACATTTGCAACAAACATGGGTTGAATATCGTCAAGGTCAAGGTCAACATGCTACACATATAATCTTACAGCATGATGATTGATCCCTTTACCTGATATGGCAGTAATACTCTTTTGACCTTTGACCTCAACATTTTCATATTGTAATATCCACCCACTCACACTTTTGATCTTTAATCTGATACATGTGCTGCAAGCTCTCATTTGCTGACTCACCGCAGTGTTATGTTACAGATGTGACACGCTACTTCACCATGGTTACCTGGAAGGTGGCTGTAGTGTCCCTGTGTGGAGTTGGCTTCCTGAAGGAGCTACACTTCCTTGGAATGTTCCGAGACTCCTACCTGACTTCAGCAACGTTCAATCTCACCCAGGACCAGCTGGAGTTTGAGGTAGGTGTTCTTTATCTCACCCAGACCAGCTGGAGTTTGAGGTAAGCATTCTTTTTCTCATACAGGGCAAACTGGAGTTTGAGGTGAGTATTTTTTATCTCACCCAGACCAGCTGGAGTTTGAGGTGGGTATTCTTTATCACACTAAGGACCTGCTGGAGTTTAAGGTGAGTGTTCTGTATCTCACTCAGATCAGCTGGAGTTTAAGGTGAGCAGTTTTTATCTCACCCAGACCAGCTGGAGTTTGAGCTGGGTATTCTTTATCACACTAAGGACCTGCTGGAATTTAAGGTGAGTGTTCTGTATCTCACTCAGACCAGCTGGAGTTTAAGGTGAGCAGTTTTTATCTCACCCAGGACCTGCTGGAGTTTGTGGTGAGCATTCTTTGTCTCACCCAGACCAGTTGGAGTTTGAGGTGAGTATTATCTATCTCACCCACACCAGCTGGAGTTTAAGGTGAGTGTTCATTATCTCAACCAGACCAGCTGGAGTTTGAGATGAGTGTTCTGTATCTCACGCAGACCAGCTACAGTTTGAGGTGAGTATTATTTATCTCACCCAGACCAGCTGGAGTTATCCTTCCTGTGGATAATGGATATGTATGTTTGTACCTGGCCTATCCTGTGTATAATAGATATGTATGTTTATTCTCGTTTTGTATTGTGTTTGGTGGATATTGATGTTTATTCCAGGTCTGCCCTGTGTATAATGGATATGAACGTTAATTCAAGGCCTATCATGTGTATAATGGATATGTTTGTTTATTTCAGGCCTGTCCAGTGTATAATGGATATGAATGTTTATTCCATGCCTATCATGTGTATAATGGATATGTATGTTTATTCCAGGCCTATCGTGTGTATAATGGATATGTATGTTTATTCCATGCCTATCCTGTGTATAATGGATATGTATGTTTGTTCCAGGCCTATCGTGTATATAATGGATATGTATGTTTGTTCCATGCCTATCCTGTGTATAATGGATATGTATGTTTGTTCCAGGCCTATCCTGTGTATGCCTACTCCTTCCCCTGTGTGCTGGTCCTTGTGCTGCTCATCACAGACCTGGTGTTCTACAAGCCTACAATATCACTCGGCATCTTGGCCCTCATAGCCTACACAGCTCTCCTCACATGGGGCCGCAGCCTACTGGTCATACAACTATCCATATTCACAGCAGCCTTCAGTTCGACAACCGATATTGCTTACTTCGGCTATGCTTTTGCTGTAGCCGAGCCTGAAAAGTTCCACAAGGTTGCAGGATTCTCTCGAATAGCTTTGCTTCTGGGAAGACTGCTTGCGTATGCTATAGGACAGGTGTTGGTGCAGGTGTTCTACACAGACTACTTCGTGTTGAATTGTCTAACACTTGGATTCATGTGTTCAGCGTTTGTGTTTTCTGTGTTTCTCCCATCAGCCTCCCTGTCAACTTTCCAGCAGGTAATCGAACGAGAACTACAGAGTCCCAGTCATGGCATGTATCAGACTCAAAATCTGGCGCCAGGGGGTAGCCATGGCAACTGTTCAATTCAAAATGGTCACTTGCAAGGGGAGACAACTCATGCAAAAAGGGCAGGTAACTCTGCCCCAAAAACTTATGACCTCCCCGGGAGCAGTCTGGACTCGTCTGCACTCCCCTGCACGGCAGGACCAACATTCTATGACATAGACACAAGCTCTCTGGGGTTTTCCTACAGTGATATGATGTCCGAGTGTTCGGACATGTCCAGTCTGGACAGGACTAGAATCGAGGAGTCCCAACAGCTGGAGGAAAAGGAGAATTTAAAGGAGAAGTTTATGTTAAGTGTGAATTCGTTTAGAGAAACCTATACGGACGTTTCTGTGATACTGTGGTCTGTGTTTTGGATACTTGCAACAATTGTAGACTTTCACGTGGGAGCATCAGTTCACCTTCTGGCAGAGGAGCACCAAGTACGGAACTCTACAGATGCGACTGTGGAATCGGTGTATCTCCTCATTGGTAAGATCATGGGTTTGAATACAAGACTCTTACTGTTATAGACATACAAGGGAGTAAGTGGGGGCATGGGAGGCCAAGTTGTTAGAGGCAATGCAGTTTTCTGTGTGGAGTTATGTCCCTTTGGCATATTAGAGATGTTTCAACAAAAATAACAACTGATTGTCAAACTTTTGTTTTATTACTGAAATATGTAAATTCGGAGTAATTATTGTGAGTAATACGTCATGCTAGAATTCAAGTGAAGTTAACAACTGATTGTCAAACTTTTGTTTTATTACTGAAATGTGTACATTCACAGTAATTATTGCGAGTAATATCTCATATTGGAATTCAAGTGAAGTACCATATTCACTGTAATAAGTGACCCAGGTGCTTGAAAACTTGACAAGGGGGAGGGGTGCTCATTCATACCAAATACAAATACATTTGTTTGACATCAAACGTCGATGAAACAAAAAAATTATTTATACATGGCACTGACATATATATCCCTATACACACTGCTGTGTGTTACAATAAGCTATTCTAGCCCCAGATAAGTTTATCAGAAAAATGGCTGCCCTAAGCTGCAAAGTCAAATAGGTGCAAAACAAGGAAATCTACGAAAACTAAGATAAAAAGTGTAGAATTGTGTGCATAATTATCAAATATTTGTTGAATGTACGATAAAATTGACTGCAGACATTTATTTTGTTGGCTTCGAAATACAGCTGTGACTGAACAAGAATAAGTTAAGAAAAAGTCTTTATACCTTCCGTGGTCTAGAGGAAGAGCACCCGCCCACAGAGCAGAAGGTCCGGGGTTCGATCCCCGGTCACGTCATACCAAAAGACATTAAAGATGGTACTTGTTGTTACCCTGCCTGGTGCTCGGCATTAAGGGGCTAAAACAAGGACTGGTCGGCGTGGAGTCGCTATACTGTGTCTGAGTGGGGAATTCATGTTAAACTGCGACACGGTATCTCAGTGAGCTAGCACTATAAATCGGCATCAGTCCAGACTAGTACAAGCTACCACACACACATGTGCATGCACATGGCCATATATATAAGTGCAATACTCTTGGAAGCAACGTTAAAGCCCATTTCACCTCTCCTCACCTCTCTTAGCGCAGTTAATTATTTTGATTCCAATCCATCAATTCCATCAACTATCAAACCATTTATCAAATGAATGCCCTGTTTTGAAACTCATATGGTTTCCGTGATAACATGAAATTTGGTTAATTATTTTTTTTATGATTATTTCAGCAATATTATGTGTCCTGATGACAAGCTTCCTGACAGTAAATTGGTCCAATTTTGAAACTTTCTTCCTGGGAGGCACATCGCTGGTTCAGAGCCTGCTGGTGGCGCTGATGGCCGTCCTTGACAACATCTGGATGAGGCACTCGCTGTACATCGCCTTCAGGGTCCTCTACCAGATGACCATCACGATAGCTATGTAGGTTGCCTTGGTTACAAACTGAAATCTCACACAGGGCTCGATTTGAGGAACTTGAGTTACCGGTAACTTGCACCCATAATGGGATGTCCTCAGATCTATGTTTAGCGATAGCGAGAACTAAGATCTGATTTTAATGAGATTGAGATATTAGGTTGCGTTTGTCAATATGTTGCACTGGTGCATTTTTTATATAGACAAATCGAGCCCTGTCACTCTAGTCTTAAAGTTGTAGGTCTACTGAATATAACTTTGTTGTAAATGTGGGAATTGAATTCAATAAACTATGTTATAAGAGGAAAGAGCTGAGGGATAACCTTCCCACCGAAATCCTATTTCACTTTCCAACAGGGGCGGTGGGGTAGCCTTGTGGTTAAAGCATTCGCTTGTCACGCTGAAGGCCTGGGTTCGATTCCTCACATGTGCACAATGTGTGTAGCCCATTTCTGGTGTCAAACAATACTCACATAATTCTCACTTACCAGCGTGTTTCTAGAAATAATAATGATACTTTTGATATTTGAGTTTTTACCATGAATTTCTGTCTTGTACATGCAGGTATCGAGTGGCTTCTTTTGTCACTGGTAAACGGTTTGCGTTTGTGTTTGGCATCAACATGATGGTGTCTGGCGTCATCATACTCATCTTCACCTGTGCAGCAGCCATCAACAGAGATACCACCTTCACGGCCTTATCCCAGGTGATCATCTTCCCTCACTGACTCTCAGATATATATATTTGGTTTCTTACAGGTAGAGAGGGAGTGCTCATGTTGTGCATGTGCAGGTAATGACGATGAAATTGACTACGCTCCCGTTGGCACAGATCAGCACGTACTATTATGGGCTATTGAGCTCGAAACTAGAACTTCGGGGGGGGTACTCTCATGGCTAAAGCATTCACTCATAACAACAACGACCTGGGTTCGATTCCACACATGGTTACAATGAGGGAAGCCCATTTCTGGTGTCCCCTGCATGATATTGCTTGAATATTGCTAAAAGCGTCGTAAAACCAAACTCACTCACTCCTTGTTAGCCGAGACAGGACACGCACATATCCATTATACTACTTGTAACGGACCTACCACTACCCCTTTCTTCACAATTGTAACTCACTGAACTCATACCTAGTCATACAGATTCAATTGTCAGATCACAACTCAATTTATCCTGGTTTACCGGTAATTACTTCTCTATAGAGGACACTTGTCACTGATTTTATGTAATATCCCGGAAATTTTATATAATATCCCGCGGATTTTATTATTCAACTCTCGTTTATATTGTAACATATGAACGTTACTTGCTAGAAATTAGTTTTGCATGTCAACACAATGAAACGAAATGTAAAATCAAGAGACAAATGTTTTCTTTACATTGCCGTGGAACATGCAAACTTTGTATCTGTAGCCCAGGGAGTGTACCACTAGGCTACAGAAGCGCTGATAAACCCCAATGCTTTTTGAATGTCTTCTACCATCAAGTACCATACGCCAGCAACAGATATTTTACGCCCATTACCTGAGCTTCATGGAAAGTATTTTTGAAACATAAAAATGTTGATATAAGTTGGTTTAAGTTTCTTTTTTCGGTTTATAAGTGAACTAAAACACTTACCCTCAGGTTTTTATGAGATTTAAAACCCTCATCCGGATGTGTTTTATCGTACGCATAAGTTCTTGCAGTGTAATGTGAGTGCTCACTGTTGGTCGTGGCTTCATTGATTGGTTAAACACATCAACAACGTCGAAAAGCTGCGGTGTGGGTGATGGCAGAATACAAATTCAGTGACATTATTCAGTGCAATAATGCATCCAAAGACATGCCCATCCTGTTATCTACCAGTCAGGATACTTGAGTCTTCTAGAGGCGTGGCCTTATTTTTTTCAGTTGATGCGACCTTAAATGCAAAACAAATTGCTAGGTTAACCAATCAAATGCCAAGGATTGTGTATTGGCAAAAACATTATGTTGCAATATATTGCGATACATGTATCTATATTGAGATATGTATCATGATATATTGGAGTTGTTGTGATTGACAGTGATTGAAACTGATCGTACATGCAGATCTTATTTTCTACTTACTAAAGTAAATATTACGATCTCAAAGTCGGCATGGTTAGTTGCTGCAATTTTCTAGTCATGGAAATGGCAGATGACAACGTGAGAGAGAAATCACTTCCATGTAACAGCCGTTTTGTTGATCAATTTTGAAGGGAAACATCCTTTGTGAATACATTTCTGTGTAGATTTTATGTTAAATGATACAGATAAATAATGAAACTTGTTATATAATTTGTACCCAATCTACCAGGCCACAAAAAAATATTGCAATACGCATCGTTTGAAAAGTATATTGCAGCATACTGGTATTACGGTAATGCCATGCAGTCCTGCAAATGCCATGGAATCACTTGCATGTTATTTATTACCGTTTGTACAAATGTATATATATGTCAACAAACTGTCTCTGTTTTCAGTTTGCCATTTACTCAGGCGTCATAGGATTCTTTGGTCTGGGGATGATCTGCAGGTCGATCTACGGAGTCATTCTACACAGAAGATGTGGCAGCTCGAACCAGACTAGAGACGACCTTGATACTTTAGTGACAGACTGACCTTTACCTTGATACTTTCATGAGAGACTGACCTTGACCTTGATACTTTCATGAGACTGACCTTGACCTTGATACTTTCATGAGAGACTGACCTTGACCTTGATACTTTAGTGAGAGACTGACCTTGATACTTTAGTGAGAGACTGACCTTGACCTTGATACTTTCATAAGAGACTGACCTTGACATTGATACTTTCATGAGAGACTGACCTTGATACTTTAGTGAGAGACTGACCTTGACCATGATACTTTCGTGAGAGACTGACCTTGACCTTGAAGTCTGCCCTTGTCGTGTACAAGAGTCTCTTGTCCATATTGCAGTTGGTGACTGTGTCTATATGAAAGTTATGTGATATCTTAACAATGGAAACTGAGACATTGAACACTTTTCCTGTTTCCCGTCTGCACATTCCAGTGTCAATGCCAGGGTTACATGGTTGCTATCTAAGTCAGCATTATCAATATGACATCAGGGAAATTATATTCAATAAATTTCACTTAGAAATATGATTTTGCTTCACCCTTTTTGGCTTGGGTGGGGTCAGGGTTTAATTTGTCATCAGAGTGCCACAGTTGGCTGTCTTGTCATAGTTTTGGATATGCACTCATGTATGCTCTGAACAGATTTCTTTGTACACTAGCACCAGACCCTTGCTCACACTTTTCACAAAGCTGGAAGCATATAAGACTTATTTTGTTCAAATCTTTCAAACCCACTCACTAGGTGAACTGATTTCGTTATCACATTGTTATGTTCATGTATTGTCAGGCTAACGAAAATAATAGTCTTGGGTGCCATTGTTCAAAACAACCTTAGCGCTACGACTGTCGTAAATCTGTTAGGGTATGGGAGTTATGATCACCTTAGCGCTAAGATCGTTTGGTACAACAGCAACTTGGTTCTCAGGCACAGCCTGCATCATCATAAAGTCTGCCGCATGTTTTTTAAAAAAAAATTAAAATCCTAATACTTAAGAACAATGTGATCCAATATAGCTCGCAGTTACTTCCCTTTACATGCACACTGCTTTACTGTGCATCTCGTGTTATGGTCATGGTCATGGCGGCAATAGGAGTTTGTATGCTTGTTTATGTAGGAGGCTCTTTACCAGGTTAATGGTACACAACTGTTTATTTGGTTACATATTAGTTTAAACAAACAACAACAGAAAAACACCGCCCGACAGTACTGTTTCCAAAAGTCATTGCCCGAGAACCAATTCTTTTATTTTTTTAAGCCTTACTAATAATTGAGAATGGTGTCACATACTGCTTGTGGCACAGATGGCCCAATCGTTGTGGTTCTGAAAATAACTGAATGTCTCATCATCGATAAAAGATGTTTCAAGCCTCGTCTCATGTTGTCACACAACGAACCAAGTTCCATTCCAAACATGGGCAAAGATTGTGAAGTGTGTTCTTTGGGTCGCCCAAACCCCTGTGATATTTTTTGAATTATTCAAAAAGAGGTATCCATCTCAATTCGATCAGATCTTTTTCTCAGATTCAATACACGTCTGTGTGAAGGATGGAGGACAACTCCATCATAGTTCATGACAAAATTTGACCACCCAAACAAATGACGCGGGGGTCCTTGAACAATCAGATGTAACCTTTGTAATTCTCTTCTGCTTCTTTTTCTGCCACCTTTTGGAAACTCTGATCCTAGCAAAAGAAAACCAACACAAATAGAACCTTGAGAGTCCACCAGTTTGGGTGGGGATGCAGTGGTGCTCAGAAACAACAGGTTTTGTCAAATATGCACAACAATATAAATGGAGCAGCTTTATTTTTTTCCATTCGGAACTCCCGAATTATATTCACTTTCAAGATGCAGATATCATATGTGCTTATCTGAATCTGTCACTCACTCATACGACGAATATAGAAGCCTCAACACTGATTTACTGATTAAATTGTTCACTTGGCACAAGTTCAGATCTTTTCTGTTTTGAGTTGATACAAATTATAACAGATCTTCCGCCTGGTATTTGTGTTCAAATTGAGAAGAGATGTAAAACCTATATTTGCTATGTTCTCCTGTATTTATATTTGTCTCCATATATCGCCATGTTTTCGTTATTGTAACTGAAATCCACATTGAATATTTTTGTGTTGGCTCTGCTGTTGTTTTTTAACCCAGCCCATGATGATTGTTATAATCATGTTTTGTCAGGTTCTGCTGAACCGAACATGGCCCAATCTCATTAAAATCATATCTTTGTTCTCTCTATCGCTAAACAAAGATCTGAGGACATCCCATTAAGGGTCACGTCAGAACGACCTTTCATCCAACCAATCATTGTAAGCATCGCTTACCAGATCATGAAAGTGACGTTCGGAATGTGTTTTCTAATCATGCAACCACGATATATTTAACACGGGGTATTCTGAACGACAGTTGCGGGTTTTATGAACATATCCATACAATCTAGGCCATCTATAAGCCATTCCAGAGTGTTCTTCTTTTCAGTTTTATTTTTTTTAATCAAGAATACGTCAAAATATGTTTCGAAGCCTAGTCGCCAGTTTGAAACTAGTGTCGTAAAGCTCGTGAAAGCTGCCTTCTGATTGGCTTATGTTGATTTCTTGTCAGTCATTTCATTGGTCGGTCAAAATTCGTGAAAGGTCGTTCTGACGTGACCCGTAATGGGATGTCCTCAGATCTTTGTTTAGCAGAACCAAAAACTAAGATCTGATTTTAATGAGATTGAACATGGCCTCTCATGCATTTCACTGATAGTGTTTACATGAAGTATGAAAGTCCAGGGGCTAAAAGTAAACTATTTAGGGGTCCCTACATTCTAATACCAAAGAGAAGGCCCCAAGGAGCCCAGGAATGCCCTCAACTTGAACACACACTATGCTTGTCTTGCTGATGAATTAACACGAGGATTGGTTGGCTACAATGTCTACTTTGTGTGTCTCAAGGCCCATGGTTTACTGGTTAAGCAATTTTGAGGAGGTTATGTATGTTATTTTTTTCAAAGATGTTTATATTTTCATAGTTTTACAAAGATATGTTGTTAAATGGTAAATGTCCCTTAAAAGGGCTAGTTTATATTTTAAACATCAGAGAGGTGATTATTTTGTTTAATGTGTTTACTAATGTATCTATGTATAATCAAAAATGCATAACAATGGCCTTTATTTACAAATGTTATTGTTTAGCTGTGAATTTTGATAAATCAGCACACAGTGAGTAATGGTAGACCAGAGGTTAAGGTGTCCACTTCTCACAGATTTAAGAGGGAACGAGTGGCCCTGTCGTCTCAGGCGCCGCGATTCGCTGTGCAGAGTTGCGTCCCTTGGGCACGCCAGAAACCTATGATTGTGGGTTCGAATCCCGGTTCGCCCCGATTATGTTTCTAGGTTTGTCAGCACCATACCCGTGCTCGTGGGTTTCACCGAAGTGGTAAATGTCTGAGACCTGCATCACTTCGGGCTTTCCTCCGAAATTAAGCTGACACGCCGTGATATAACTGGAATACTGTTAAAAGCGGCGTAAAACCAAACTCACTCACTCACTAACAGGTTTGATCCCAAATATGAGTTTTCATGTCATCCCCAAGAGGAGATTATGCAAAGAGAACTGCCCACTCCCTCCTGTCAGCACAAATACATTTGTGTGATAATAAGGACAGCAAGTTGCCTTGATACCCTGAATAGGTAATGAGATGAAAGGAAAAACACATTGTTTGCAACAAAACACATGCAGAAAATATGCAAAATAAATCACCATAATGCAATTCATTTTGAGTTGCATACATTTATTTTTTTAAATAACAACACTGTGCGTAATTACCGAATGTAGAATTTTCATCTTGCATACCCGAATATCTTTACTCATCTATACTGGAAGTCTTGAAATTAACGCGAGTGTGAATTACATGCAAAAAATTCAAGTGGTTTTTCTTCGCATTTATTAAACTTCATATTAATATTTCAAAAATGAAGGGGCGGTCGGGTAGCCTTGCGATAAAGTGTTCGCTCATCACGCCAAAGACCCGGGTTCGATTCCCGACATGTGTACAATGTGTGAAGCCCATTTCTGGTGTCCCCCGCCGTGATATTGCTGGAATATTGCTAAAAGCGGCGTAAAACCATACTCACTCAATCTCCAAAATGACTATCAACAATAAGACGATATTTGCCGTATTTACTGGTGGAATGCGTCTGTACATGAATGGTAGAAGTTACCTGAAAGATCTTTTAAGCAGAATGATTATTTTAAATGTCTACTCTTTGGTTTAAAAATTTCCAAAAGACTGGGTTCATGGGAGTAAAAATATATTGAATACCAAAGATAAACTACTAGTTTTAAATACCTAATGTGAATGATCTTGTGAGTAAATACTCAATGGCTTAAAACATTATTACGAGCCCTGATGAAATGTTATGTTTTATTAGTACACTGGATGAACATTCTCCTTCCCATCTTTTTATCTTCAGTGATGACCGCTAGTACCAAGGATATACTTGAGATTTGATTTGATTACATATCATGAAAGTAGTGAGTGAGTATGGTTTTATGCCACTTTTAGCAATATTCCAGCAATATCACGGGGCACACCAGAAATGGGCTTCACACATTGTACCGATGTCGGGAATCGAACCCGGGGCTTCGGTGTGATGAGCGAATGCTTTAACCACTGGGCTACCTGACCACACTATCATGATAGTAAGGTTGCAATATGATAAATGGAACTGTACATGAAAACGCAACACTTGCCCCTAACCAAACAATGTTTAGATGATTTGAGCTTATAGTTTGAAAACTGGCTTCAGACCACTTAAATGTATTTATATACTGCCTATGAAGATCGGGGTTAGAAATAAGGTCTTCAGCAACCCATGCTTGTCATAAGCATGATAAGTGGCGACTTATGGCTCGGACGCATGTGTTCGTATCCCAATTGGGTTGATTGATGCTCATGATGTCAATCACTTGGTTGCATGGTCCTGGTTAGATTATTTTCAGATCGCAGTCACATAGCTGGAATAGTGTTGAGTGCTGTGTTAAACAACAAAGAATGTATTGTACAAACTGGCAAAAAATAGTATTTTG